GGACATAAGAAGCTCCAGAATCGATGGCTATCTCCTTCTGCCAAGCAAGCTATTCCAGCAAGGTTCCAAACTGAGTGGAGGGCCTGGCTGGGTAGTGGTCACTCGGGGTGGCCAGGGATGGTGGACACAGGCCATCATCCTGAAGAGGGCTCTGTGGATTCGGGACCAGCAGGAGAGGCTAGTTCTGAAAAGCCAGGTGGGCGGACCTTTGCCCGTGTGGGGCCACCCACAAGAGCAGGGAGAACATCAGGGAAAATGTTTATGTAGATCCGTGTTTTCCTTTGTTGTAACAAAATGCCTGAGGCTGGGTGTTTTATAAAGAAGTTTATTTAGCTCACAGTTGTGGAGGCTGGGAGTTCAAGGTCGAGTGGCCTCCTTGGTTGTGTCCATGATAGCGGATGGCATCATGGCAGATGTGTAAGAGGGAGGGATGACATGGTGAGACAAACCCAGAGTCACTTTGGGGCCAGGCTCCACTTGTCACCACAGCCTGCTCTCAGGAGAACTGACTCTCTCCAAGAGACCAGCATTAATCCTTTCCCAGGGCAATGCCCCCAGTCACCTGGTCACCTTCCACCAGGTACCAACTCTCACCTGGCCACTCTGAGGACCCGGCATCCTCCATGAAGCCCTCAGTGTCTGAAGGACACAGGCCAGATCTGCCAGGAGAGGAGCTCCCACCATTAGCAGAGCACAGAGGACGGGCTGAAGTGACTCTGTGCTGGGCTGAAGTGACTCTGAGCTTCCTGTCACAACACCTTCAGGCCTGGAGAGGAGCCCTGGCAGTGTGGCAGGTGCCTTCTGCCTCCTCTTGGCCAGTCCCCGCCCTGCCCTGTGCCCCTCTTTCCCCTCCAGGGCTCCCTGTGGTCCCACCCTCCTGGCTCCCGGGGAGTTGCTGGGCCCCGAGAGCCAGGCTGGTGCCATTTCCTTGCTGATATGGCCCCGTTTCATGGCCTCATCAGAATCGTGTGTTCTATAATGAAGAACCACATTCTCACAAGACAGGGAAGAACAGCACAGGAAGAGGGCAGAAAACGTCACCCTTCTTGGGTGACTGTGACCGTGACTGAGGACTTTCATCCTGCCGGGCGCAGGATGAAAACTCCTAGGGGTTTTTGTCATCCTGGCTGCCGAGGCCTGGAGCCGGCCTGGCCTGGACACGTCCAGCCTTCCCAGGGGAGGGAGCCCAGGCGTCCTGCCCCAGCCAAGTTCTGTCCTCGGTTGGCTGAGGGGGAGCCACCTTGTCACAGGTGCCCAGTGGGGGTGGTCAGCCTGTGACCCCAACTGGTCCTGTGGTCTGGGGCTGGTCCCTCTCTGGACCGCACAGAGGAGCACCCAAGCCGCACCTCAGACCCACAGCTGCCTGCACCACACACCCCGCCTGCGCATTCCAGGTTGGCTTTGCTCTGCCCCCTTTGAATGTGTCCCCCACGTTCACGTGTTGGAAAAAGTCCCCAGTGCAATGGTGTGGAGAGGGGCAGCCTCAGGGAGGGCTTAATGCCCCTGGAGGGAGGGTTAGCTGTCCCAGGAGCCCCATTAAAGGCTGACTTCAGCCCCTCCCGCTGGCTTTGTGCCCTCTTGCCCCCAGTCTTCCACCAACAGGTGGCACAGCACGAAGGCACTCGCAAGTTCTGGGCCCCTCAGTCTTGGACTTCCCAGCACTCCAGAACTGAGAAATCGACCCCTGTTCTTTATAAATCACCCCGCGTCGGGTAATCTGTTATGGCATCAGAAAACAAATGAGACATCTCCCTCTCACTTCTCATATGTCCTTAGTTACTCATCAGTGATTATGTTTTCAGGGTGTGTGTTGCCAGGACTGGGGAGAGACCCTGGGGGTGCTTTACCACTGAGCTACATCTCCAGCCCTTTTTGAGACTGGGTTTCAGTAAATTGCCCAGACTGACCTTGAACTTGCAATCCTCCTGCCTCAGCCTCCTGAGTCACTGGGATTCAGGCTTGTGACACCAGGCCTTGCATTGGGGTTTAAAAGTGGAATATAGCTACTATTTATTTTCCTTCCTCCAATGATCCACCTGAGATTTCCCAATCATTCACGATGCCGTTTTCGCAAGTTGCCTCTCTGGAGGCAAAAATTCTAAAGATATGCCCTGTCTTGTTTTCTTTTGGTCTCCATGTGACTAAAATAGAATGCTAAGTCACACAACAGTTTCCCTTTATCGCTGCTGGCCACTCCACTGTCTGTGGCAATTTTGGTGTGTTCCAGGCTACCCCAGGCCAGCGGCTGTTGTTAAGGTCAGGTGGACACAGGTAGAGGCACTTTGAAGAGCATAAAGCCACTACTCAGATGAGATACGTGTACTGGGTTGTCATTTCAAATGGCCTCTAAGAGGTGTTTCCCCCCACCCCCCAGTGCTGGGGACCAAACCCCGGTGACATGGGAGGCAAATGCTCTATCACTGAACTGCTCCTGCAACCCTCCCGGATTTTTTTTGGTAGGATCCTACCTGTTTTTGCCTAGGGTTATGCATTGCCTAATAAAAATAGCCGTTGGAAAAAACAAGAAAATTTTATTATTTTCCTAATGATGATTTCCAAACTATTCACAGAATAATTTCTGTATTTCACTTATTATTCAATCTTTAAAAACATCTCTTTTCCTTCAAGCCATCAGTTAAACATGGACTGCCTCGAGGCTTCTACATCTTGGTTTCTCCTTTGCAGACTTCCCTTGCTCCTAAGCTCTCCCAAGCTGCCCTGAGCAGGGGACCTGGGTGGCCACTTCCCGGAACCTGGCTCCTACGTCTTGTGATTTTAATGCCTTCCCCAGGCTCAGCGCAGGGGAGGCTGTCACTTGTGGTGTTAATCACAAGCGGTAGACACTGGCCTGGGCTGGCGCAGGCTGCTGGTGGCCTCCTTGGGGGGGCTGGTGGGCCTCGCTCCAGGCCCAGCTCCCAGGACACCCTGCAGGCCACACTGCGAGTGGGCTGACGAGGACACTCTGCCAGGGCCCCCATGCACTGGGCTCCACAGGTGGCACCACCACCACACCTAGCTCCCAAACCCACAGGTAGCGCTGTTGCTGTCTCATCGATGTCCTTGTCACCCCCACTCTTGGCAAAGCAAGTTCCCTGCCCTCTCCTTGGATCAGTGTCACCTGAGCCTGGTCCAGCACAGACATTTGATGAGCAGAACCTATTAGCTGGGCTCAGTGGCGCACACCTGTATTCCGAGTGACACTGGGACAAAGAGGGACTCACAGTGAGAAACTCCCAGGACACAGAACATGTCCTCTGCAGATGCTGGGTGACTGCAGATGTCAGCAGGGCTGCAGGTGCCACATGGATATGGGACTTCCTCACAGCCTTGTCAGCTCCCTGTCACCTGCTTCTCACTTCTCTTCTGCAGAGTCCCTGCCCCCACCCCGGTGCTGGGGACAGAACCCAGGGCCCACGGCTGGGTAGGTGCTCAACCTCTGAGCCACACCAGCCTGAAACTTTTTTCCCTTTGTCCTCCCACCACAGGGGATCAGGGACCTCCTAGAACAGCAGTTCAAGTCTTTTGACAGGGCAGGACCTTAGGTAATTGAATGAAAAGCTGTGGATCTTCTCTTCAGAAAAAGTCCCATGTGGCCGGGCACAGTGGCTCACGCCTGCGCCTGTGATCCTAACAACAAGGGAGGCCGAGGCAGGAGGATCACAAGTTCAAGGCCATGCTTAGCAACTTAGCAACACCCTGTCTCAAAATAAAAAGGGCTTGGGGTGTGGCTCAGTGCCAAAAAAAAAAAAAAGAAGAAAGATAAGAAAAATGCACACGTGAAGTAGAATGCGCAGATGGTTTGATGGCTTGGGGTGGTTTGGGGTCCCCTAGGTTAGAAACTCCTGCCTCACAGAGGTCTGGGACTCAGAATAAGGCTGAGAACTAAGACCCCAAGGGGTTCCACAGTTTTTTGGACGGTCCCTCAGGGTCAGACAGATCTGGTTTGTGTCCTGCCTGCAGCCCTGGCCCCTGGCTGACCAGGGCCTCCCTGAAGCTGAGCCGTGGCTTCTTCACCTGCCAGTGGAGATGACGATGCCACCCGAAGGTCAGTGCGAGGGTTGGATAAAGACAACTGCAGCTCCTGCGGGGTCGGGCCGTGGAGGCACCTGCTCCTTCCTGCAGTTGTACCTGTACTTCTCAGCTTGTCCCAGCCCAGCTCTCAGAGTCTCTGCTGGAACATCCCCAAGGTCACCTAGTGAGGATGGGCTGCTCCCTCAGTCTCTCTTCATCAATGAGCGAGAGCTGCCTCACTGGTCCTGCTTGCAGGATCATGTTGCCCCAGGCCCTGGGCAGAGGCTCTGCAGAACAGGGCTGGAGCAGCGCAGGCCCCTGGCTTCCCCAGGGCCTCCAGTGCACCCCTTCTTCCCACTGACCCAAAGATCAGTGTGGCCTCTTCCTCGACCAGCAGCCTGCACCTCCCTGGCTCCAGAGGCAGAGCCCCACGGAGCCCTCCACCTGCAGCCCGGCCTGGAAGTTCTAGATGGACAGTGTCCCCTCTGCAATCTGAACTGATTCTTGGGGTGTTTCTAACACTCCTCAAGGGCTCCGGCTATTTTCTCTCCAGTCCTCTATATCTCATGGGCTTTTAAAACTGGAAGGAAAAGAAATTGAGTTTTGCAGGAGAGGAAGGGAAGAAAAAACTCCAATCCATCATCTAGCATCCGTGGTAGTCGTTGGAACTTCAATATAAATGTCGTCAGAGGAAAACTGCGTTGCCATTTGAGAGTGCTGGAAGAGGCCCTTCTCAAAAGTGGTGACCTCTGGGTGGAAACCCAGGGGCTTTGTTCAGGGACACATGTCCACGCACAGCCCGCACTTAGGGCCAGGACATGCCTCGGCTGGACTGTTAGCAGGAATGAGATGGAGCCTCAGCCGGCTGGAAGGGCGACCTGGACTGTTTACTGAGCCAAGTCCTCACAACAGCCAGCCAGCAAGCCCGCTGCCCACACACACGTCTGCAGTGAACGGGCTCACCCAGGGCAGGGGCAGGGCAAGTGCTGGCAGAGGGCAGTGCGCTCTCGCTGGGAGCTGATCTCAGACCAAGGACATGTGACAAGAGCAAGCTCCGTACAGCAGAAGAGTGGGTGTGAGGGGATGGGAGCAGGGCGCAGGGCGCAGGGAGAGGCCAGGGCCTGTGCACCTGCAGAGGGTAGCCAGGCAAGGCCGAGCTGAGGAGGCGTCCTCAGGGTGTGGCAGACGGGGTACCCGGACAGAGCGGCGAAGGCCAGGGTGAGTGTACGGGGGTGTTCCTGGAACAGCAGAGGCCAGTGTGGGTGCAGTCTGGGAAGGGAAGCCATTGTGTTGTGCAGGGTGGGGAGGCCGAGGGTGGAAGCTGGGAACAGGGAGACGCAGCAATCAGGCCTGGCAGGGCTACAAGGCCATGGGGCCAGGAGGTCACACTCAGCATCCATCCCGAAAGTACAGAGAACAGCCTTGCCTTGAGTCAGGTGTGGAGGAAAAGGGAGAAATTTAACGTTCAACTTCCTTTCGGGTTTTTTTTGTGTGTGTGTGTGCCAGGAATTGAACCCTGAGGCACTAAACCACTGAGCCACATCCCCAGCCCCTATTTTTTTGTTTTGTTTTGTTTTATTTTTGAGACAGGGTCCCTCTAAGTTGCTCAGGGCCCTGTTAAGTTGCCAAGGCTGGCTTTGAACTTGCGATCCTCTTGCCTTGACCTCCCAAACTGCTGGGATGACAGGTGTGTGCCACCGCACCCACCCACCCTTGCCATTATTCAGTAGTGGCATTAAGCACATTCACACTGCTGTGTGACTGTCACCACCCGTCCACAGAACTCTTTCAGCTTGTGAAACTGAAACCCTGCGCCCATTAAACACCAACCCCTGATCTCTCCTCCCTCTGTTCCTGGCAATCTCTGTTCAAATTTCTGTCTCCTTGAGCCTGACTCTTCTAGGTCTGCGCATGAATGGAATCATTCAGAATTTATCATTTTTTGCCGATATACTTCACACAGCACAGTTTCTTGCACGGTGTGGCTCTCCTGGGTTTTTGATTTGAGCATTTTGGAGGCAGCCTTTACTGTTCCGTGCTCAGCAAGCGCCCCCTTGTGGCCATGGATAGACATGTCCCTGAATTTCCAAGGCCCTGGTACTCCTGTAATCCCAGCTATTCCAAGCAGAGGCAGGAAGATTGCAAGTTTGTGGCCTGCCTAGGCAATTTTAGCAAGACCCTGTCTCAAAATTTGAAAATAAAATAGAAAGGGCTGGGATTGTAGCTTGGTGGTGGAACACTTGCCTAGCAAGTGTGAGGCCCCGAATTCACAGTACTGCAAGGAAAAAAAAATTGAAAGAAAAATAGAATTGTGAATTTGAAAAGGAGAATTTCTTCTCCTGAAAGACAAGGTCATTGGAGTCAGACTCCTCTAATAGCTGTGTCCCTGGAAAGAACTTGGAGGGGTGGGCACGTGGCTCAGTGGTAGAGTGTCTGCCTAGCATGCATAAGACCCCAGGTTCGATTCCCAGCACCACAGAAAACAAAACTTGGAGACACCCTCCAACTTTTAACTGTACCCCTCTCACAGTATTTTCTTTCAGAAGCGGTTCTCTTCCACAGCTTTGATAGTACAGTTTTTTGTTTTTTTTTTTGCAAACAATAGCAAAGAGTCTTCCCCAAGTGTCAACTGCAGTAATAAGGTACTTTGCATTTATATCATTTGCATATTTCTCGAGACAAACCTCTAATAAGCATTATTATTATTCCTATCAAAGAAGAAACCAAAGCCCAGGGAGGGTAAGTAAATTGCCCAAGTTGACACAGCTAATCATCACAACTGGGGCAAACCAGGCAGCTGGGCCCAGAGTGTTTTAACCATGATGTTCAACTGCCTTGGAGTGAAATCTGTAATGAAAATTCCCACCACAGCCACATTACTGTGCGGCCACCTTGCAGAGTCCCCATGCAGCCCCCCTCCCCCGCCTCTTTTCTGAGGTCTATGGGTGAGGCTGTGCAGGCCAGGCCAGGCAGACATCCTGGAAGGACAGGGCAGTCAAATCCCAGAGCTGCCTGTTCCTGGCTCTGTGCCCTTGGCCATGACCAACCCTGACTTCAGTTTTCCTCCTTCATAAAAATGGAGCTGCTGTTCCCAGGGCCGTGGGGAGGGAAGCTGAGCACAGCCCAGAGAGGATATAAAGGAACACAGGTGCCCAGAGAATGGCAGGCCGAGCCGTTTCGCTGAATTGGGGCCAGTCACTTATTTGGGTCCAGGTGGGAGTCTTTGCATTTATTGCAGAGTCAACGTCATCTAAGTGGCTACAGCTGACAGCTGCTGCCTATTTGGGTCTCTGAATTCTAATTCTGATCAGAGGTACCTGGTACCCTTCTGTTTTATTCAGCTTTTTTCTTTTTTTGCTGCTGTAACTAAAAGATATGATCAGAACAATTGTAGAAGAGGAAAATTTTATTTGTGGGCTCACGTTTCAGAGGTTTCAGTCCATGGACAGCTGGCTCCATTCCTCAGGACTCAAGGTGAGGCAGGACAACGTGGTGGGAGAGTGTGACAGAGGGAAGCAGCTCACAGGATGATCAAGAAGCAGAGAGAGACTCCACTCTCAGACACAAAATATATACCTCAAAGGCCCACCTCCTCCAGGCACACCCTACCTGCCTGTAGCCACCACCCAGTTAATCCCATCCGGGGATCAATTCACTGCTTAGGTTAAGACTCCCACAATCCAAACATTTCTCCCGGAAACTTCTTGCAATTGTCTCATGCGTGAGCTTTTGGGGGACACCTCACATCCAAACCATAACACTCTCCCTACTTCCTGCTTTAGAAAACGTGGTAACAGCAGGTGAAAGAGGTTTTAACTCAGTCTGGCCACCGGCCCCAAGTTGACTGCCCTCTCCAACCCCCTGTGCACAGACCCAGCCCTCATCCCTCTCTTCCCCAAGGAATAAGACGGTGGCCATGTCTCACCCCTGACCCACAGCCCAGACAGATTACTCCTCACCTTCTAGGCAAGTAATCCTGTCTAAACAAGAAATGAGCTTCTGTGAAATTTGTTTATCCTCTGCTAAAACCAAGTTGAGTTTCCAAGTTAAGAGTCTGGCTGAGATTTTATCTTTTTTTTTTTTTTTGTATTGGGGATGGCACCCAGGGCCTTGTGCATGCTAGCTACATCTTAATCTTCTATCATTTTTTTCCCTCTGATTTATTAAGGCAGACCTAGAGACCAGTCAGCCTCAACAGTTGCCATTAAATGTAGTTGGTTTGGATAGCAGGCAGAGGAGGAGAGGTCGACTCCGAGGCAATCGCGCCACCTTGTGGCCAGTAACTTTCCTGCAGTCAACGTGCTCGCGGTGCACTTCACAATGGTCTATGCCCAAGGAAGACATATGGTATTTTTACCCAAATCCTTTGAGTTTTGTCAGTTGTTAACGTCTTGATCTGAGCATTAAATATATACTCTCCATCTAAACCACGGGTGTACAGCTCACTGCCCTTTCCTTATGGATTTTGAAAATCATACAAAACTGATGCTTTTTATTCATTAGGTGGCTTATCAGGACTTCTTGGTGGCTGTGAGGTGTCCCCCACCTCCCCGGTGCTAGGAATCAAACCCAGAGCCTTGTGCATCTAGGCAAGTGCTCTGCCATTGATCTACCATCCCAGCCCTTTCAATTTCATTTTGATACAGGATCTCTCCAAATTGCCCAGGCTGGCCTTGAACTTGTGACCGATCCTCCTCCCTCAGACTCCTGAGTAGCTGGCATTACAGGCCAGCACTTCTACACCCGATTACTTCTTGGTTTTTAATACACTGTTATCAACCCTCTTATACTATGTGCCAAGCTTTATAGTGATTGGGGGAAAAAAAAGGGACATAAGCTTGCAGTCAGGGACTCTATGGCATATGATACCCTGGCCAAGGGGATCAGATGCATCTCCATTGGCCCCTTGTCCCTCCCCTGTGGCACCCTACTGTAGTAGACAGGGAGGTTCAGCTAATGTCAAACACGACTACTGTCAACCCCCAAGGATCTGTCATGGGTAAGAAGAAAATGTGATTAGACAGTGGGGTAGCTCAGTGGTGAGGGCCGTGGGGCTGGGGGAGCTGGTTGCACTGCCCCCCACCGGGGCCGGTTAGGAGCTCCGTCCAACCACACAGGCCTGTCTGACTTTGCAGGAAAATCCTGGAAACACTGCCTTTCCTGGAGGGAGGGCTTGCTCCCTTCCTTCTTTCCTTTTTTCCTTTCCTTCCACCTCCCTTCTTTATTTCTTTTTTACTTTCTAGCATTTCCTATTTCACACTCCCTTAAGAGGCTTAGCTTTTAAAAACCAGGGAGAGGAAGACTGGAATTGTATGACACTGATTATCTCAGGTGGCTATGATTTGTATTATAATTTTTTTAAGTTAAAAACTGAGAACCAGATTGATTCAGGGGGATCTTCAGACGGAGGCCAGGCCCCTGCTTTGCTAGAGCAGGTGCTGACCTCTAGTGGGCATGTGCAGCACTGCAGCCCACGGAGGAGGCTGGCGGAGGACGGAGGTCGCTGCGCGGTGCTTCCTGCAGAGCTGTTTTCTTTGGAGGCTTCCTCAAGATCCGGAAAATCTTGTCTTTTAGGTTCTGAACACATTCCAGGAGTCACAAGACAGCTGCCTCATCGGCTGTCATCACTAGCAGCACGTGGCCGAGTACAGTCTCCTGGCACCCTGCTTCCTTTTCTTGCAGCACCCAGGCCACCCCTTGTCCAGGTTCCTGCTAATCCCACACAGCCCGGTTCACTGGGCGAGTGTTCTTCCCCGTGGCCTTGGTTTTCTACTCCTGCAGCGAGTATTCACTACTTAAAAAGTAACACGCACAGGCACGAAGCAGCGTAAAGACCTCTGGATGGGGAAACCAATAAGGTTCTAGCCTTGACCCTACCCAAATGGCCACCGGGCACTGGGATAGTCACTCAATCTCTCTCATAGTTTCCTTGACAATTGGATTCAGTAAGTTTTAAATGACAAATTTATCTTTACTTTTGTTTGACATATTGGCCACACTGTTCTTAAGATTCCTATTAAAAGGTACCTTCCCCAAGGACATGGTTGTTAGTATATAATTGTGTTTGTCAGCTTTCTGTTGCTGTGACAAAATACCTGAGATAATCATCTTATAAAGAGAAAGGTCTATTTTGGTTCACTGTTTTAGAGGTTACAGTCCATGGTCGAGTCGCATGTTGCTTTTGAGCCAATGGTAAAGCAGCACATCAGGATGGGAGC